TCTATCTATCTATCTATCTATCTATCTATCTATCTATCTATCTATCTATCTATCTATCTATCTATCTATCTATCTATCTATCTATCTATCTAGTCGATCACGCAGCAAGATAACCTTCATTTAAGTGACTTGGAAGCTGGAATGCTTGTTTAGCATATGTGTTGAAGAGGTGTACCTAATGAAGTGGGCGAGTTTATTGTATAATGATCTGGAATTAAGTCCAAATATATTAAATCGCTCATTTATCAACACAGGATGATGAGAAATACGTTGAACCGAGTACCAGCTCTGACCTTTCTACCATACAGCCCACTGAATCAACACCCACTGGGTCGCAAGATACACCAGGAGAAGAAATCCTGCCTTGGGTGAAGAGTATCCAGCCGGATAAGAGGGAAGGAGACGATGAGGACGTGACAGAAGAAGTCCCAAAGAAGAGAAGCAGCATCAGGTTCCGCAAGAAAATAAAAACTCCTAAACAGCAGCACGGTAAAGGTTTGTAGGTTCATTATATGTAGACTGTGATGATAAAGGTTTCTCTGTTTCTGTGTGTTATTGTGGGGTCTTTACTTTACAATATAAAGTACTTTGGGGAAAGGGTTGTTGTGATTTGGCCCAGTCCAAAGAGCTGATGTTAGTGGGGTTAACTGGAAAGTTCACAGGTGTGAATGTGAGAGTTGGCCCTGCCACCGACTGCCGACCTGTCCACAGTGCACCCTGCCTCTCGCCCTATGACAGCTGAGATAGCCAGGCTATAATCTGCCTTTAGCACAGAGACACGTTTTCTAAATACAGTGGTGTGAAAAAGGGCTCCCCCTTTCATCAGGAAGCGATGTCTCACTTAAATGTTTCAGATCATTAAACAGATTTAACTATTAGACAAAGATAACACAAGTAAACACAATCAGTTTCTAAATAAAGGTGTTTATTATTAAACCTACTCTGTGTGAAAATGGCATTGCCCCTAAACCTTTCAGCCTGATTACTTCAAAATAAAACTAAAGCAACCCAACGTTTGAGGAACTACAGTCCGTTGTGGTGCCAAATATAGAACATGTTATCACCGGTAATTACGTGCCTGTGAAGGAAGCCGTCAATAAATGACCTCATTAAAGTCATTAGTAAATGTAATATTTGGATTGAAATGAAATGAAGCAGAATGAGACTAAAGACCGTTTTTTCCACCTTAGTCATCCCAGTGTGTGTCTCCTCCTATTTTACCTCTTTTATCTTACATCTCTTATGCTTTTGGTTGCCTAGTTGGATTAAGTGTATTAAACTTAGCTTTGATTCAGTTCTTTTCTCTCCTTCACTGTCACCTGTCCAAGACACCGATCATTGTTGAGTTTGAAGTGTTGAATCTAAAACGTCCTCGCTGCCTTAGGCTGTAAAGCCGCCCTAGTGGATCTGAGCCAGAGGAAAAACCGACATTACTGAACTCTGCAGTCTTTGTGGTGCAGTGGTTCGCACTCTCACCTCACAGCAAGAATCTCCTTCAATTCCCTGGCCAGTTGGGGTTCCTCTGTGTGTAGCTGGCATACAGTGGGGCAAAAAAGTATTTAGTCAGCCACCGATTGTGCAAGTTCCCCCACCTAAAATGATGACAGAGGTCAGTAATTTGCACCAGAGGTACACTTCAACTGTGAGAGACAGAATGTGAAAAAGAAATCCATGAATTCACATGGTAGGATTTGTAAAGAATTTATTGGTAAATCAGGGTGGAAAATAAGTATTTGGTCACCTCAAACAATGAAAATCTCTGGCTCTCACAGACCTGTAACGTCTTCTGTAAGAAGCTTTTCTGTCCCCCACTCGTTACCTGTATGAATGGCACCTGTTTGAACTCATCATCTGTATAAAAGACACCTGTCCACAGCCTCAAACAGTCAGACTCCAAACTCCGCCATGGCCAAGACCAAAGAGCTTTCGAAGGACACCAGGAAAAGTATTGTAGACCTGCACCAGACTGGGAAGAGTGAATCTACAATAGGCAAGCAGCTTGGTGTGAAAAAATCAACTGTGGGAGCAATCATCAGAAAATGGAAGACATACAAGACCACTGATAATCTCCCTCGATCTGGGGCTCCACGCAAGATCTCATCCCGTGGGGTCAAAATGATCATGAGAACGGTGAGCAAAGATCCCAGAACCACACGGGGGGACCTGGTGAATGACCTGCAGAGAGCTGGGACCAAAGTAACAAAGGTCACCATCAGTAACACACTCCAACGGCAGGGAATCAAATCCCGCAGTGCCAGACGTGTTCCGCTGCTGAAGCCAGTGCATGTCCAGACCCGTCTGAAGTTTGCCAGAGAGCACATGGATGATACAGCAGAGGATTGGGAGAATGTCATGTGGTCAGATGAAACCAAAGTAGAACTTTCTGGTATAAACTCAACTCGTCGTGTTTGGAGGAAGAAGAATACTGAGTTGCATCCCAAGAACACCATACCTACTGTGAAGCATGGGGGTGGAAACATCATGCTATGGGGCTGTTTTTCTGCCAAGGGGACAGGACGACTGATCCGTGTTAAGGACAGAATGAATGGGGCCATGTATCGTGAGATTTTGAGCCAAAACCTCCTTCCATCAGTGAGAACTTTGAAGATGAAACGAGGCTGGGTCTTCCAACATGACAATGATCCAAAACACACCGCCCGGGCAACAAAGGAGTGGCTCCGTAAGAAGCATTTGAAAGTCCTGGAGTGGCCTAGCCAGTCTCCAGACCTCAACCCCATAGAAAATCTGTGGCGGGAGTTGAAAGTCCGTGTTGCTCGGCGACAGCCCCAAAACATCACTGCTCTCGAGAAGATCTGCATGGAGGAATGGGCCAAAATACCAGCTACTGTGTGTGCAAACCTGGTAAAGACCTATAGTAAACGTTTGACCTCTGTTATTGCCAACAAAGGTTATGTTACAAAGTATCGAGTTGTATTTTTGTTATTGACCAAATACTTATTTTCCACCCTGATTTACGAATAAATTCTTTACAAATCCTACCATGTGGATTCATGAATTTTTTTTTCACATTCTGTCTCTCACAGTTGAAGTGTACCTCTGGTGCAAATTACTGACCTCTGTCATCATTTTAGGTGGGGGAACTTGCACAATCGGTGGCTGACTAAATACTTTTTTGCCCCACTGTATTTTCCCAGTGTCTTTGAAGCTTCTCTCCAGGGTCTCCAACAAACCAAAGACATGCATATTCTTCTCGTTTGTGATTCTAAAATTGTCTGTAAGTGCGAATGTGAGCATGAGTGTGTTTCTCTGTGTCCTAGCGGCCTGTCCACAGTGTACCCAGCCTCTGGCCCCATTACAGCCAGGATAGGTCCCAGCCTTTCTGTAGCCCTGTAGTAGATAAGTGGGAGAAAATGGATGGATGTTTTTTCTTGCCACCAACAGTGATTAAAATGATGCTGCATTGTTTGAACCTTTCCTTTATGATCCCCGGACAGACCAGATGACCCCATCTTGTGCTTCCTACAGACCTGGATTTCCCTCGCAATAAGATGGAAAATCACCTGCACACCCCGTCCACTTACTTCCCAACATTCTCCTCCAACCTTTACAGTATCCTCTGGTGAACCTGAAAGCACCTGCCCATTAGATCAGCTTTTATAATCAAAGCATCATATCATCATATAATGTATTTAACAGTTAAGCTGGAAGTGGTATTACTGTAAAGTTGGGAATGTTTAGGAACAACACAGCCAAAAGTGTCAGTGCATGTAAAGTGGCATATAATGCATAAACGTCATCAAACCTCCTCTGGCATTAACATCAGTACAGAAACAGCCCAGCATGGGTGTTCATGGCCACCTATGGCCACTCCCTCTCCATGTGCTGTGGTTTAAGGCTCACTCTGGTTTTTACTGCTGGGATAATGTGTCAAGTGAACAAAATGACAAATGTTGCATCTTCTAAAATATAATTCCCCCTTCCTGTTGTGCCGATTGTAGTTAAATCTCTCATCTGGTTTCGACTTTTCCAGTGGAGTCCAGTGGAGCTGAGACTGTTGACTCCAGTAAAGAAATGATGACGAAGAATCAAAAAGGCAGGAAGAGAGAAGCAGCCAGTAAGAGAATACGGGATGTGGGACACAAGATAAAACATGTCTTCATTTACGGGTAAGTGAAAGCTGCTGCTGATGATCTCTTAAGAAAATGTATCATTGTGCTTCTTGTGTTAATGAAAAAGTAATGTTAAAAGTGTGCAGTGACTTAATGCAAGCTGGTTTCCTGCAGGCTTCAGAGTGTTTACAGGCCAGCTCAGGGTTTCTTCAGGGATATTCTGCACTCTGAGTACCGGACTGCCACCGATGTCTATGCACTCATGTTCCTGACCGACGTCATTGACTTCATCATCATCGTCTTTGGCTTTTGGGCTTTTGGGGTGAGACACAAGCTCGTCATTTTGTGACTAACGGTAAAATACAGAAATGAAAACGAAAACTACAAAGAGATCAAAACGATAACATTTGACCTAAATCAAGTGTTTTGGAAATGAGACTTTTAACCTCAGTGAGATGTTTGCCTGGATACATAAAAGACAAACCGCAAACATCTGCCACACAGCTGGAACTGAATAGGCCGACTAACTGCCGACTAACAGCGCCCTCTGTATGCCTCATTGTTCCTAACGGTGATCTCAACATGTAACAACAGTCTGACCTTTAGTTTGTTGTCATGGTGTCCAAAGGTATGTAAGTAAATTAGCCAGACTGTGTTTTATTTGTGGTAAGTGTTTATATTTGTCCCATTTTTGCCTTTATTACTCCAAAGCCTTTATTGGTAACAATGCTTAAGTTTCATCAAAGAACACAAACACACTGTTGAAACTGAAGCTGAATAATAGTAAATGTCTTAACTATAAAAGTACATGTCATGTTTGGAAGATAATCTTTAAACCACGTAAAAGAGGAAGGCCTTCTCATGACTTTTGTCCTGTTTCTTCAGAAACACAGTGCAGCAGCTGATATAGCGTCCACGCTGTCAGAAGACCAGGTGCCGGAAGCTTTCCTGGTGATGCTGCTCATCCAGTTCAGCACTATGATCATTGACCGAGCGCTATACCTGCGCAAGGCTGTCACGGGAAAACTCATCTTCCAGGTTCTGTTCACATAATAAAATTCTTATCATTAATTATTCACATAGCTTCACGGGGTGATGCAAGTTCAGAGGAACAGTCCACAAAAAACAAGAAACTATTTTAATAAAACTGATTTAAATGTGATCTTTCTCCCATTCAGAGTCATCCTCTCTGTAGGGTGCTATTGTTAGTTTACTCCGTAGAAGCTGCCTGTATCCTCCTGTACTAGTGCTTCAGAGTGGCATCATAGAGGAGGGTGGAGAGCCAGAAAGGCCCACAGGGAGGTGTGTGGCTGTGCTCTCCGTGAGAGTGCTGAAGGACTGCCAGCTGCTGAATGCAGGCGATTGGAGCAGAAATCTTGCTGTAACCTTGAATGAACCGGTGATTAAAAATGAGCAAATCCTAAACTTTGAACTTTATTAGTTGATTATGGTCATTCAGCTACATCTTTTACCTTACCTGGATCTGCCTTTATCTGCTCAATCGTGATGAAAAACTAGTACATCACCACAGTAGGAAAAGATGAACCGACTGACCCAGTCAAGGGTAACTGCAGTAACTGTGGCAGGACACAGGGCATAACCAAGTTAAATGCTTCGTCTCCTCTTCATTGATTGTTCTCTTACAACTGCACCACAGAAGGATTCATGACAGGAAATGGCTTCAATATCGTGGTCGCCCTTTACACCTGTATCCCTACAACGAGGCAGCGAGGCTGTCGTGGCTACAGCAAAAACAGAACGAGCTTTACCCCGATCAGATGTGCCAGGTTGAACCTTTCAGTGACCACACCCACCCTGGAGAGTCAACCACAGCACATAAACCCTCACACGGGCCACAGGAGAACGGGTCGGCAGTCAGCACCTCGGTCGGTCTCTCCCAGAGGCTGCTATAGTAAAATTCCACGTTAAACCAATTCCCATTAGGGAATGCTGGAAAAAAATGACACGTTTGCTCCTAGTCTTAGTTTCCATGCTTCCAAACGCTTGGAAGTTGTGGACTCTGGGTCGTATGCAGCGATCCAGCTCTCATGACCCAAAACAATAATTCGAGGTAGGTTTGAAATAGAAGTTTGTCTTTGCTCTCTGTGCAGAGTCTGGCATGAAAAGTGCACAGTGGTCAGAGCAGTCAGGGAGTGGTCAGCAGGTCAGTCAGTCTCTACCTGGATGTGCACCAGAGGCTGATCTTGAATGGGAGATTAGACACTTTTACAGTTGGGTATGATTTTCAGTTTTTGTGAACGTGATTGTGTCAAATATCTTCTGTCTGGTCTCTTGTTTGTTGAAAGACTCTTTTACATAAAATTGATTTGAATCTTTTTTCTTCCTAAAACGTTGCATCTTTTAAATCCTAAAATCACTCGTAGGTTGTCATTTAGTGCTTCTGTAATCTTTGTTAGGATGGCATCTGTGGAGCCACTCACTGCTCATCTCTGCTGTTGTTTTTCACAATTCTAACTATTTTATATTATTTTAATGACGTTTCTTGTTTTGCTGTCCTATTGTTCTTTCTCTCCAGGTGATCCTTGTTTTTGGGATTCATCTTTGGATGTTCTTTATCCTGCCCGCTGTCACTGAAAGGTGATGTCTTGCATTTACTGTATTATTTGTGATAAATTATGACATCGATAATGATCTGAGTCCTGCTTTAACAAAAACAACTCCTTGGAGGAGTAATGGATGATTGTTGACCAGCCTCTAACAAGTGCATGCTTTAATTAGCTGCACCTGTTGAGCTGTTTATTAACACAAATATATAATCAGCCATTTCCATGCTCAAGCTGCAACTGCATGCATGTAGGTATGCAGACATGGTGAAGATGATCTGCTGAATCTTAGGAAGTTGATTCTGTTCATCTGGACTGTTTTCAGTGACAGTTCCAGTCTCGACTGCCTTCGAGGTTTTCCAACCTTATAAACTGTACATTTGCACAATGACCCAAACTGACTAACAACAGGCCGCGAGGTCGGGTTTTATGGTCGTTAATATTAAATTGTAATATTCACAGAGAGTTGGGGAACGGCTGCCTTATAAGAGGGTGACAGTTGTACCCTCCTTCTTTCAGAGAGGATCTTTCTGTTTACATAAATGGCCTCCTCGACTTGATTAATATACCCAGACATAACCATCCCCCGTTTTGATCTTCAAAGCAAACATCTACCAGTCAGGGATCAAATTACTGACTGCTGCACTCGGCATGTCAGTGTGTCCTCGGTACAAAACCCCGAGTTGTCCCAACGCATCCATGGAAGTGTGAGGTGTGTGTGTGTGCTTAGGCCTAGAAGCACTACAAGCCTTATGTGGGAATAAGGTTTGCAGTGAAAAGTGCTTTGAGTGTTCAGTTTGAGTGGAGGAGCTCTATAGAAGAACCATTTACTGCTTCAAGCTCATGGGAAGCTAGCAGCAATGCAAAAAGGCGATTGCTACAACCAAGGAATACTGCAGAGCATCTCTGAGTACGCAACATGTTAAACCTTGAAGCAGGCGGCTGCCGCCACATGGACGCCTCCTGTGGCCAGAGTTTACATGGGCTCATCCAGGGAAGCCTGGATAAACCACCCACCCGTCTGCCAGCCAGACTCTCTCTGCTCTGAGCTTACCACCCTGCAGTGGGAAACAGACTTTTTAATGGGAAATATAAGTCATGTTTCTAAAACTAAAAAGTGCTACAAAAGAGACAAAGTATTAAAAAAAGAGCCTCAAAGAAAATTATTGGAAGAAATAGGAAGTGAGATATGGACTCTGAAACAGTGACACCAGATGGTTTTCCAGCTGATTTATACAAGAAATTCAGAACGTAGAAAATAAGATCTAAGAAAGCAGCTCTGCACGTGTTTGATCAGGGTTACTTGTTTCTGACAGCGGTCAGACGGGTCACAGAGGCTGCAGGTGAAAGTGTTGGACTGTCCCGGCTGTTCTCTTTGTCTTTAAGAGTTGTGGCGTGAGAGACTTTAAAGGTGTGCAAACTGGTATCCCTTTGCTTTACGTGTGTGATTGCTGTGTGTCATGGCACAGGTGAAGCACTGGGCCTGGTTCATTTGGACTCAGGCACAATTCACAGCACCAAAGCATGACAGTTAAGGATTGCTGCCTACATTAACATTTCTGTTTTAAGTAATTAACAAACCAGTAGCGTTAGGCATGTACAGCGTGTCACTGCTTCCAAAAATTGAAGACATGAAATCATTGTCTTCTGCAAGCACATTTTTCAGAGACGAATGAAAGAAAGCAAGCGCATGTCAGAGGAGTTAACATGCTTAAACTGGCTGATGCACACTGTCAGAGCAGGCTAGTGAGAGAAAAGGGAAGGGGGACAGCTGGGCACAAGGTACCCATCAAAAAGCCTCTGAGAGTTGATTATGTGGAATAAGGCAGCAGTCTTTCATTCTGCTCCCAGTCTAGTTGGGTCTTTCGTAGCATTGGAGGCCTGCTCTGCACAAAATCCTCAAAATGACTCAGATTCTCTCCATGGACGGAGCACGGACAGCACTGGGAATGCTCCAGGACTCTCACGCAGAGCAAACAGACCCCCAGGTATATGTGTTTGTGTTAGACAGTTTGGTGCATATTGCTAATGCTGAGGTCGCCCAAATGCAAAAGAACTGTGTAAAAGTTTCAGGTTTGGCATCAGTGATGCAATGTTCACAACTTAGAATAATAATTCAAAGTTGTGGCTGGCGGGACACACGCTGCAAGATTGGGTCCAGTAGGCATAGTGTGTTAGTAATGGTGTTCATGACTGTAGTCCCAACTGGCTTCAGATCATCAACAAGCTTCTCCTGTAATCAGACTCGTTCCTTCAGCCAAGATCTGGCATGAAGCTCCAGACTGAGGCCATTGATGGTCATTTTATAATTCTTCTACTTCTGATCAATCACACACATCGAATGGACCGGTGCTTATAGAGTGCTTTCCTACTCTGCCTGAGAACTCAAAGCACTTCATACATACAGCCTCATTCTCATGAGCGCTTGTTTCCATGCTTAATGCTTCCTATGTAAAATGCACACTCCAATATCTGCAACAGAGAGCAACTTGAGGTAAGCATATTCTCAAGCATATTGTGCATGCAGATCAGGAAATCTCTCCTGGCTGTCGGTACTGGAAGTGCAACCAGAGATTTCAGTGAAATGGGTCATGACGAAACAGAACCTGAACACCTTGACATAAAGAGTGAATATTCAGTTGGATATTTTTTAATAGCCTTTTTGTCTAAATTGTGTTTTTTAAGCTTTTGAATTACTAGCATTTGTTGTTATTTGTCCTGTGACTCTTGGTTTTGGGGATTGTTAAATTCGAATTATTGTTATGCAAGTCTCACAATGATATGGAAAAAAAGTCCCGTAAAATTTCCCCAAAAATGCAAGATGTTTCTTTTTTGCATGCTTCTTTAAATCAAATTCAAATCATGGTTAACGTTGTGTTTGTGCTTTTTGAGTCATTGTTGGGGGAGCACTGATACAACTGTGTAGTTTCATCAATAGCTGCGAGGTGGCCTGTCCCTGAGCTCACAGCAACCCAAGACCAAACATTGTCACTGTCTCACAGGTGCTTTTGCGTCTCCTGACAAAGGCATCTTTTGTCAGCAACTGTTGTTATAGCAGACCTACTTTGTCTGAGCCGCCAGACTACAATATTCCTCTGGTACTTTGGCAATGAATGTCAAATTTGTGCAGTCACTCTCTGAAGTCACAATTTGCATTATTTTGCACTTTGCAAGCTGTTTTGCTGACTGTATAAACTGGTTTATGAGCTAAGTGTTATGTTCTTTCTCTCGTCTTGTCTTAGGATGTTCAACCAAAACTTTGTGGCACAGCTCTGGTACTTTGTCAAGTGCATTTACTTTGGCTTATCAGCTTATCAGATCCGCTGTGGGTACCCCACTCGTATCCTTGGCAACTTCCTTACCAAGAAATACAACCACCTCAATCTGTTTCTCTTCCAAGGGTATGTACACAAAGAAAGTGTGAGCTTCTCTGTGTTTGTCTTTGCTCTCTCCATGCAGCGTATTGCAGATATCTGTAGGTTCTTAGTCACTCTTGGTAGTTTAGAGTTATTTCAAAGAAAGCTCGTGGACTTATTTTACATTTGTGAAGATGTTTCCCTTCTTGACCAAGAGCTTCTTCAGTTCTAAAACATCTGACAGAAACTCCCAGTTATTTAAGTCCACTATTAATCATGTGAGTCGCCACTTGAGTGTCATTACCGTCACTGGCCAACCTCCACCCACCATCATGTCACGTATTTAAGTGAACAGGTGTGAGTGGGGACCATAACAGGGAGACACTACAGCTAGAGACAGCTAGGATAAGTTACTGAGAAGCATGTGAGATAGAGACCTGACCAAACCAGAAAAGCTTCCTGTCCAAATGGCTCAGATTTTGCCACATCTCCACTATAGCTGCCCATAGTGGACGTCATCACAGACACAGCAACAAGAATGAATGCCTTACAGCCAAAAGCAGAACAGCTGCACCTGAAGGTTGCAGCGGCCTTATCCATCCAACCGCACCATTCAGGAAAAGTAAACTATCACGTCCCTGAGTAAAGGTCAAAGTGTTAGTGTACTACCCAAAGGGAAGGGGCATTTCCCCTTGACCCACTGTTGTTTCAAGCTCAACCGTCAGATTAAAATCACCACACTTCTCAGTGACAAGAGAAGATGATGCCCCGCAAGCAGCGACAGGAAGAAAATCATTACTTGCCTACAACAATTAACCCTACATACCCAAGGGATGCTACAGCCAACATATGTGGACTTCAAAAAGGAGGAGGCCCGTCCCCCTTGAGTGAGAAGCATAAGCTCTTCATAAGTCCAGCTTAACATTATTAGTCTTCTTGCAAAGGAAAGACACGCCATGTACGTCATGTATGTTTGAGATCAAGTGTGATAAATGTATGTGAAATGGGTCAGGAGTCAAAGCTGACTGCGTGTTTGTAGGTTTCGCCTGGTGCCCTTCTTGGTGGAGCTCCGAGCAGTGATGGATTGGGTTTGGACCGATACCACATTGTCTCTGTCAAACTGGATGTGTGTGGAGGATATTTATGCCAACATTTTCATCATCAAATGCAGCCGTGAGACAGAAAAGGTATGAAAGATACGAGCGCAACAAAGTCAAAGTTCATTAAAAAAATGCTCACGACCATTACACGTGGAAACCTCTTGAATACCAGCGCGCTGATGCACACAGGTGTGCACACGCGTGTTCACTGCTCGTAGACTTAAATTACACCTTACCTGGCTGCTACTTCAAAGCACATTGTGCGCTGTCGGTCCTGCGTGCTGCACAACAACATTCAATATTCAGTATTTGCTGCTGTTTACACTTGGCTAGATTAATGCGATGCTGTTGTGTTTAGTATGTTGCTTTTTTTTTTGCTTGTTTTCTCTTCTTCTTCTCTCAACAGGTGATCCAGGAGATTTGTTTCCCTCTCTCACTGTCCCTCTCCCCTTCTGTTTTTCTTTTCCTTCCTCTTTCTTTCTCCCTTTCCTATCCCTCACTCATGTCTGTCCCGTCTGTAACATCTGAAAATAAAATATAATAAAAACAAAGGTCGATCAAATGGACCAATACGGCAATGCCACGATGATCCATTTGGCAAAGTAAATCCATCGGGTCTCCTTGTTGGTCTTCAGACAACAATTCTGACGGCTAAAGAACCAAATGGGACAGGCGGGGAAAAATGCTCACGAATGAGTCATTTTTTATATTAAACATGATTTAGTGCTATTGTGTTTCAGAGTATTCTTATCTGAACCTGCTTGGCGTTTCCGAGTTTACTGGATGGCTCCTCATAAGCAGTTTGGCTTAGAAGTCATTCCAGAGGCATTGTGGGACCAGCCACTTTTTTGTCCTGTTTTCTAACTCGTGGTTAATGAGATCAGGAGGACAATGAGTTGTATTTTTAAGAAGTAAGTTAAGAAAATCTATTTTTTTTTAGTAAAAACAATCTCTTTGCCCTCAGAAATACCCACAGCCTAAAGGGCAGAAGAAAAAGAAGATAGTGAAATATGGCATGGGTGGACTTATTATCTTCTTCTTGATCTGCATCATCTGGTTTCCCCTTCTCTTCATTTCATTGGTCCGATCTGTCGTGGGTGTGGTCAACCATCCCATTGACGTCACAGTAACTGTCAAGCTGGGTGGATATGAGGTAACACAATCTTCAATGTTGTTTCTTGGGTGTTGATAAAATTGCTCCAAATTAATGTTAATAAATGATTAATTTAATTTATTGTTTATCTGTCAAACACATACGCAGACAGTATACAGGGATGATTTCATGCGTTTGCTTGGTCTTGTATTAACAGACAACAGAAAGCAGAACACTAAGAACATAAACTGCTATTTGGCACATTTTAAGACTGTGCTGATTGTGATGAGGGATTAACGTGGAGTTTGGAAGGTAGCCAACCCCGAATGAAACGCCTCTCTGGATATGGTTACAGGACAGGCAACCTCTAACCAGTCACAGTGGCTGATGGTTTTTCCTTCCCAGTGTCACAAAATGCTTGCTCCCACAGGGCTGTGTGGCTGCTGTAGGGTCCTTCCCTTTTCATCCTCCTTCCCTTTTTAATATTGAGCGTGTTGACTGTTGCTGTGATTTGGTGCTATAGAAGTAAAATTCTACTCTGACTCCAAACTGGGATCAGCCGTGTTCTTCTTCTGTTTCCAGCCCCTGTTTACCATGAGTGTGCAGCAGCAGTACATCAAGCCCTTTTCAGAGGATGAATATGACCAACTCGCCAAAGACTTTGAAGACAATGCTGTGCGTATTGGTTTCCGTTTGGTTTACCTCAGTGTACTGCAGTGTTACAGTATCTGCATTTGTAGCTGTTCTGTGCTCACATCGATTTATCTCTGCTTGTTCTGTGACACTCAGTGTGCCTCTGTCCTGTTTCACTGTGTAATCACACACCTGTGTTGTGTTAAGAGCATGAATTGAAAATAATTTCACATCCAGCATTTAATAGCACTAAATACCGGGTAGACAGACCGTTTATACTCCGTCTGCTCCATCCCCGGCTCGCTGTGTACTCTGAAACTTTGATCATTTTCTCCCTGTTGCTTTTGTTTTGGTGGATTTGTCATTAAAACTTTCTTCTTCCTTTGCGTGTAGGTCGCCATGCAGTTCATCATTCTCTACAGTTATGAGGACATTGTGACAGCCATGATTGAGGGTAGTTCTGGATCTGTTTGGAGGATCAGTCCCCCGAGCAGGCAGGAAGTCATTAAGGAGTTACTCGGTCCTGTTGACCTCACACTTCGCCTGTCCTGGAATTTTCAGAGGTAAAACAATATCAAACAATATTCTTCATCTAAGCAACATTCGAGTACATGCTTGTTAGAGAGGTACAACAGTTATTGTCTACAGCAGGGGTCCCCAATCCCAGTCCATGAGGGCCGGTGCCCTGCAGGTTGTAGATCTCACCCTGGGTCAACACACCTGAATCCCATGATTAGTTCATTACCAGCCTCTGGAGAACTGAAGACATGTTGAGAAGGTCATTTATCCATTTAAATCAGCTGTGATGGATCAAGGGCACATCTACAACCTGCAGGGACACCGGCCCTCGTGGACTGAGATTGGGGACCCCTGGTCTACAGCCATCTCTAAAGAGTGAGGCTCATTTCCGCCGGCGGTGGTGGAGATTTTGTTGATAGAAAAACGCACACAAACACTATCAGTCGTGGATTGGCCTGCAGTGTGGGATCATCTCTGCACATCTGTGATAAGCTGTTGATTTCATATTTGATCTGCATTCCTGTTCTCACCTACAGTCCTGTAGTAACTGAAAGAACAACAGTGCGGACACAAGCAACAGATACAAGCTTTTCATAGAGGCTGACAGGGCTCAGTCATCAGTGTTACTGGTCCTCCTGTGAGGTGGTTCAGGCATCTGACTAGGATGCCTCCTAGGTGAGGTGTTTAGGCCAAGATGTGTAATATCCACCCGATGGGTGGGTGAATCTGATCCTGACAAGTTTATCGTTGTCTGATAGACACTCACTTTTTCACACAAGATCTAGCTTTTATAAACAAAGTAATTCATAAAATAAATAATAAAAATGGGTTACAATGAAAGCATTCTCAGATAGAGTGAAACACATGTTGTGAACATAAAGGCTCTCAGACTTTTTGAGCTCTGCTGACGTGTCACTGAGGCTGTAACTGTTCTGCTTTCCTTCCTCTCAGGGACCTGGGTAAGGGTGGAACAGTGGAACATGCCTTTGATAAGCATTCCATCGACCTGGAACCTGGGAACCCAGTCAGAGCAGACTTGGCTTCATTGCTGGTTGGCAACCGCACTGAGCCAGTGTAGGTTTTCTCTCTGGAGGGATGTTTATGTTAATAAAAGTGTTTACATTAATGAAAAACATGAATAGTGCTTCTTTTAACAGGCGCTGTCTTGTATTTCTTCCAGGCTTGTTCCCAGTATGTTTCCTAAGTACATCCGTGCCCCCAATGGAGCTGAGGCCAAGCCAGTCGGTCAGCTGCACGAAGGTTTACAGATTTTATATTATAATGATTACGTTAGTGAACAATTATTTATTTAGGAAAATTTCCACAAATTATTACTATATAGTACTAAGATATACGTATGATACAGCATAGTTCGAACAGGTAGAACAGAGAAGAATCCTTTAATTGTCCCACAAGGGGAAATTTGGTGGTGGGAGCTGCTGATACTGGCTGCCAGCTCGGAGCAGCACCGGAAGTAGATGCACTCAAATGGGATACTGAGTGCATGTAAGAAAAAATACCTAGTGTATATGAAACAGTTAAAGAAAGGAACGACCGGAGCTGAAAAAATCTATAAGATACATGAGAATAACTGACATGAATAATAAAAAAACTGCAAAACAGGTTACAACATTAGATTTTTACGTTACAATAATAAGAAAAACGCACTGGAAGTATTAATATTATTGTCAATAAAATAAATTAAAAGGATGAAATATCCAAGTAACTCCCCAATAGCAAACACAATGATCAGTGACAGCTTATTGTGAAGGATTTGAATGGTTTTGTTCTTAATGTTCGTCCTGTCATGGCCAACAAACCTGCAGAAACTTGACATCTTTGTAACTACAAGTATAAGTGTAGCAAACTCCATATTTATAAAGGCAACAGATGAAGATGAAATTACTGCTATAGTGACATCATTTAAGTTTAAGAGATCAATGGGTTATGATGGCTTTGATGTGGATTTAGTCAAAGACATCACTGGACATAAGGTGAAAACATTTACCTGCACTGCAAACGGTTTATTCCCTGGAAAGGTTGTGCTGATATACAACGCTGGAGATGAACATCTGCACTCCTCTAAGATACTGGAACAAATAGTTTGCGTCACAAAAAACAATGTTTTGTATGCAACACTGTGGCTTTAGAACCAACATAACCACAACACATGATCTCAATATGTTTGTAGATACACTCCTGCCAAAAACAAAGAATATGCTGTGGGAGTGTTCTTACAGCTTAAAAAAGTCGATACAGTCGATACAGTATTTGGAGTATTTGGAGTATACCTCAAACACTAGGCGAAATAAAACAGTCACAGGCTCGATGTCAGCATCCAGATATTTTACTCCTTAACATATGTGATATTGAGAAACAGATTGTTGTCTTATAGGTAATGAAGCTGGATACATGGATATAACCCTGTCACTAAATAGCAGTGGGAACCAGGAGTGGTGGGACATTGCTATTGCGAACTGTGACTCCTCACAGTGTGGTGTACTACCCATGGTCATATTCAGTGACAAAGTCAGTCCTCCCAGCCTGGGCTTTCTGGCAGGATACGGGTAAGAAACACAACTACGAATGTAGGAGTTCTGGGCATCAGTCAGCAAAAACATTCATGCAACTGAAACAGTTCAGTTCAATTTTTTATAGCACTAAATCACAACAATGATTGCCTGTTTATATTGTAAGGTAAACCTTACAATAATACAAAGGAAACAGAGCAAACCCAACAATCATATGAACCCCCAATGAGCAAGCACCTTGGCAACAGTGGGAAGCAAAAACTCCCTTTTAACAGGAAGAAACCTCCAGCAGGAACAGGCTTTAAATGCTTTATGTAAGCCTGCAGTGTGAGAGTGTAGTGCTCTAACGAGGTGCTACTGTGTGTTGCCTCACAGCGAACAGGCTCATCGCTGTGCAGCCTTTGTATGTTCTCCTAATGCTTGTGGGGGTTCCTTGGGGTTCTCTAGCTTTCACAATCCAAAGACATGCACGTGAGGTTAATTAGTGTTTCATAACTGTATGCGGGGCAGACAAAGTCCTTAAAGATGTGACGAAAACAGCACTGTGTGAATGAATGTTTTAAGGTGTATCCGAGTTGTCATTAAGACCAAATAATCTCGATATAACTGTGAGTCTCTTTCTGTTTACTCGCAGTGCTGCTTTACAAAAAAGGTGCATGATCTCTATAGAGCTGTTAAGAAGTTATAATTGCATTCAGGAAACTAAAATGCTGTTATAAGTTAAAGTTTGGTTTCTTTTACTAGCTGACTTCAGTGTAAACATGTAATAAAAATAAATACATTAAAAAAATTCCCCTCGCGCCCCTGCGGGCAGTCTATCCTTCAAGCTCGGGTCCTCTACCAGAGGCCTGGGAGCTTGAGGGTCCTGCAGTATCTTAGCTGTTCCCAGGACTGCGCTCTTCTGGACAGAGATCTCCGATGTTGTTCCCGGGATCTGCTGGAGCCACTCGCCTAGCTTGGAGGTCACTGCACCTATTGCTCCGATTACCACGGGGACCACTGAATGAATGAATATAGATAGATATAAGATAGATATAAATAAAATATAATGTAATGTAATTTTCCCCCTTCTTTTCAGTATCATGGGGCTGTATGTGTCTGTGGTCTTAGTCATTGGGAAGTTTGTCCGTGGCTTCTTCAGTGAGATCTCCCACTCCATCATGTTTGAGGAGCTGCCCTGTGTGGACCGCATTCTCAAGCTCTGCACTGATATCTTCTTGGTAAGTGTGCGCTGCATGTATAATAACACACATGCATTTAATGTAGACTCACCAATAACAGAGAATAATTAAAGTTAGTATTTCCAAATTGCTAAACGCACACATACACATTGAAACTACAAAAAAATCCATGTCGACTAAACGTCTGTGTGTTTCAGGTGCGTGAGACAGGGGAACTGGAGTTGGAAGAGGAACTTTACTCCAAACTGATCTTTCTCTATCGATCTCCTGAGACTATGATCAAATGGACTCGGGACATTATCAGTCAACACCGAGACGGGCAATGATTGACTGCCTGAGAAATCATGTTTCCCTGGGATAAACTACAGTAAAGCACAAATGCAAAGATGTCCAGGAGACAATGCACGGAAGGGGATTGTTGAGAACACTCCACACTTACCAAGTGGACACCAGCAGACACACAGACCCTAACCCTCCTCTGTGGGACACATGCTGTGGCATATTTGCAGCTCTCTGACAACTTCAGTATACTCAGTACAGAGTGGACAGGAATGAGAGTGGAACTGCAGTTCATATCTGTTGTGCAAAGCTGGACATCATTTCCCTGGAAGGCAAAATCTGTCATATCATGTTGTGTGCATATGTGTGTGTGCACGTTACACTGTAGGTGGAGTCATTTTGCAGACAAAAGCCAATGATAAGAAGAAGCAGCTGAAGTCTCTATGCTACATCAAAATATTCAAACTATAAATTAGAAGTATGTCAGCTGGTCACTATTTTAAGTTTAACTAGCTCTTTTTCATTAAATTACCATCATTTACAAAAATGCAAACAGCTTAAAAGGGTTGGAACAAATACACTACAAGACTGCAAATCCTGAACGATTCATTCGATGAACTGACTGATAAGTTGGACTCATCAGGCCACACACCCCTGTCCTCATCAGCTCTGGGATTCTGTAACTGATGTTTTTATGTGTACGACCATGCTGTGCATGACGCTGACAAACAGTCAAACAGAACCCCCTGGAATTAACTTGGTGCCAGAATGTCTGTGCAACTAAGCACTAGTACAACACCTGTTTATACATTATGGTGAAATATACATCATAAAACACTAAATTTCCAGGTTAAAAAACTGTCACTATTTATTCTGTTCATGCAAACATTGTTGCCATAGATATCAAACCCATTGTGACAGGTCTTTGCTGTTTGTTAGGGAAAATATTCTAAAACACTTCTTCAGTAAAGACTCAGAGAAGAGAAACACACAGAACTTCTTGCTAGCAAGGGCAGCCTCCAGACTGAGACTCGCGCTGAGCTTTGCCCTGGTCTTTATTTATACTTGTGTGTGTGTGTGTGTGTGTGTGTGTGTGTGTGTGTGTGTG